CCCCCAAAGATACACTCTTTCAGATGACCCAGCAACTAATCAATCACCAACGGGAAACCCACAAAAAAGGTTTCTCATCCCCCTAACAATAATCCACTACACCACCCTCCTCACGCAACTCCACTCCACCAACCCCACCCTGCACGGCTTCCTCCCGACCATTTTGAAAGAAATCTACCTCGCGACCAGCGTGCTCCTCCTGACGCTCTCATCCTTTAAGCTTTTAATCGCGGTGTATGAGGATGAGGATGGGTTAGCGTATTATTATACTAGTGAAGGGGCAGGGGGTGGGGGCGTGGGATCCCGGTATCAGGTTCACAGCACGACGCAGAGGAGAGGACGTTCCGCAGCGGGGGTGCTGTCCGCTTCCCGCTCGTCTAACCACTTTAGTCCCACGGGAGGGCGATCCCGTTCGAGGCGGTTGGAGCAGCACAGGAGGAGTGTTGTCGGTGGTCGTAGTGGTGGTAGTGGTGGTGGAGGGGGAGGAGGAGACGGTGATACGATAGAGGAGGAGCCGATTCTCAAGCACGCGCAGCAACCTCAATCATTCCTCGGGATTCGAAAGGATGTGCGGATTCAAGTAACGAGTGAGGTGGTGATTGAGTTGGAGGAGCGGGGGGTTGGTGGTGACAGTGATGGGGTTGGGAGGTGTAGTAACAGTAGTGGTGGGGATGATGGAGATCGGAAAAGGAGGAGTCGAAGGGGGTAGGAATCGTGCACCGTCTGGGCAAGGACATCATCCTCATGGACTTACCCCAGAAAGAACGTGCGGTCTTTGAATGGTGGGGGTGTTCAGGGCCGGGGGGTCTTGTGTCTGAGTTACCCGGTGATGAGGACTTGGAGTCACGAGACTCGACTTCTTCAGATTCAGCATTCGTTCTACATGCACTACCAGGCCGAGAATGCATATTAATTCCATTGAATATCAAGCAGCATTCAAGCTCAACCACAAGTGAAGTATGATACATTTGAGCCATACCAATGCTAGGAAACTCTTTTGGATCCCCAACAGAGACTGTACCACACGGTAAAGAAGCCCCAGACGAGTTGCTGGTTTTGACCTGCAAAGGAAGAAGATACATGGCAAGTACAATACACACGCAACGGATCCGGCACAGGAATCAAAAATTCGAAAGTGCAGAGATGACAGCCAACGCCAAATTGTTACAAGCTGGGCTAATTCTCAGTAATTCAACTCCCCGCTACCGGCTCCACCGACTGCATCGAGATCTTCATAGCTCTTCAGACTGCGGCCCTGAACAGCTTCCCGCGGACCCATGCCTTGTTGCGGCCCACTGGCATCAGGAAAGCCGCCAGCTCCCATCATAGCAGCCGCAGCAGGATGACCGGAAGGAATACTGGCGGGCAGACGGCCTCCCGCTCCGTACATGGCAGACATACCACGAATTGGGCTCAGGCGGCCATTGCCACCTGCTGGTCGGTGACCCCGTCGATCGTACGGTCCGGTGCGGTTGTTGTAGCGACCACCACCACGACGCACAACCCCAGGTTGGTGCAGGACATGACCATCAGCAGAAACCATACCAGTTCCGCTCCAGGAAGGATTGCTGACACCCATAAATCCGGGCAAGCCAGAGCCAGGAAGACCTTGAAACCCTGGGGGCACACTACCGCTGCCTGCGAAATGCGCCGGCATCGATGCCAGGCTGAATCCACGGGGAGTACCTGCCTGCCCTTGTCCAGTGCTCAAGGGGAAATGACCGTTACTGTTTGCATCGGAGCGAGAAGGCGCGATACGAGCAGGATCAAGCACGTAGGCATTGACCAAAGCAAGCTGCGAGTTATTAGTAAAGTCCTGCGCCCCGCCCCCCGGATGAAAAGAACTTACGTCGTTGCGAATGTTTTCATACCATTCGGTGTGGCGCTTCTCAACGTGCTTGCGCCAGAAGTGATCCGCCTTGAACAGCTTCGTACACTCGGGAACCTTGCATCGATATTTAGACTCATCCTCCTGCTTCATGTATTTACTCAGCTCCTCCTCCAGAGCCTCCTCCACTGGCTTGCCGCCCAGCTTCACAATATCGACATTCTCAGGCTCAAGAATTTGCAGGAGCTTATCCTCGAAGGTTCTGACCCAGTTGAAGGCTCGCTGAAGCTGTTGTTCGGATTTAGAGCTGAATCTTTGTGACCGCCTTTCTTCCGCCGCTGGAGGCTGTTCCTCGCCCTCTTCACTTGCCTCTTTCTTTTTGACGGGGAATGGCTGTCCGAGCGCGCTAGCCCGAGCCACGGCTTTCGATTGTGTTGTAAGTCCAGCACGCGGCCGACGAAGATGTCCACCAGGGCATTTTCGGGCAAGCTCGTGGACCGAGTCACACTCGAAGACGCAGAAGAAGCAGAAGTTATAGACTCTCCGGAGATATTCCACCATCAAGTCCAATTTCTTCTTCTTGGCCAGGAGCTCCTCATCATCCACTTCGTCATCTTCCCATCCCTCCCGCTCCTCTCCTTCTTCAGCTTCTCCTTCATCCATGTCATCGGCGTCGTAGTCGGACTTCCTTTTCTTGACGCTGACGGGTCCGGTCACAGGGGGCTGTAGCCATCCTTTACCGCGCAAATCCTCCACTCTTTCCTCAATCCGCGTGTACCCGTCCGTATTGGCTCCCATCTCGGCGTCCAATTTGGAAACCAGCCGTCTCGCCAGCTCCAAGTCCCGAGAAATACGTTCAGGGGATGAAAACAGGTCCCATAGAGCCTTCTTCCGGGGCTGCGAGGGTGGTACATGAACACCAACATGGCAAACAAAGTCTCCGTGCACTGGGTCGTGGATTGTTTCGTCGTTGATAAGTCCAAGGGCCTTTTCAGCGGCCGAGACGGTCACAGTTCCGTTGCTATCCGGGTCCATTTCTTCGCCTTCCTCCTCGCGCCCATCGCCTCTTTCAACAACGGGAACGTCAGCAGCTGGGTGAAGCATGATCCAACCCATGCGATGATATTTCTTGGAAGGGTTGGGATCGCTTAGACTAAGCCATTTGAAGCCACCCGCTCCGTCCCCCAGGTGGTTTGAGCAGAATTCTTCAATGTTCGCGCGACTCACGTTGGGGGCCAGAGTCTTGATCAGCAGGGCTGACTGGGATAGCGCCTCGTCGCGCAAATCACCACCTCTGGCTGGGAGCAAATCCAAGACACCCAATGTCTCCCCAACAGCAGTGGTTTCACCCTCTTCCTTCTCGATCACCCCGCCGGCGCCATCACTCTCACTTTTATAGATGCCTTCCAAGGTAAACTCATCAAAAAGGCCATTATCAAGGTCGCTCTCCCACTGCTGGTAAGCGCCCATTCGGAAGTCCATCAATCGACGACGAAGAGGCTCTCGTACTTCCGGGACATACCGCTCCCTAAACCATTCCTCGTTGCGATGATGATTGACGAAGGTGCGGGCCATCTTCGCCTGGAGGTCAACTTTGTAGGAATCGTAAGCCGCCTGGATTTGTGCCCGCTCTCTGTCTCGGTCTTCGCGAGCTTCCCGTTCTCCCTTGACGCGGTCTGACGGACGCCGGCCACCGTGCTTAGCGCGTTCTTTCTCCTCTTTAATAGCTTGTTCCGCCCTCCACCATTCCGCGAACCAATTGAACCCAACTTGGAAATCCAGATTGAGGGGGTTAGGCAAAGGATTAGTGGGAATCGGACGCTTGCCGGAGTCTTGGCCCGGAACATAACGATCGATGTTGGCGACATTGGGGGATGGCGCAGAGCGACGGTCATCGCGCTCGCGAGCGGCATGCTCACGAGCCGCACCATAATAATCGTCCCGCGACGCGCGACGATCGGCGGGTTCGTAGCGATCGATCATAGCAGGTGAACGAGAGCGACCGCGCCCCCGACGACGGTCCTGCGAAACTAACAATTCGTTGGTGTTAATCATAGGCCTTATGAGCAAACGAACGACGAGAGACTTTCTACCTACCAGGTGATCTGCGGCGATACGAATCTACCGATGGCCGAGTGGCATAAGGATCGCCCCCATCACGGCTTCTCCCAGGGGAGTCAAAGCTGTCATATGAGTCCATCACAATGATACCCCAAGAGGATGTTGGGGTGTCCGAGATTGAAAGTCACTTCGAGTAGATGGTCAGTTTCCGACTGGCAATGTGTGGGTGACTCGCGCGTCGGTCCGAAGGGAGGACAGTGAATAAGCTAGGTTTCGACACCATCTATTAGAGCATGTCCTTCATCTGCAAGATTGTGTCTCAAGGGCGGGACAATGATAATAATGATGACGACGATGATGTCTGGAAGTAACAGGGTGGGTAATGAAATGATGAGGACGAGGTTGTAGGCCAAACTCTGGCCAAGGCTCGAGAGATAGGCATCTTCTTTTAAAAGAGACAAAAACGAGCCCGAAAGTAAAGAGAAAGAAGCAGGGCGCTCACGCGAGCCAGACAAAGATTTAGACGAAAAGGGAGCAGAAGATAGACAAGAGCACAAAAGGGTCTCGAGAGCCGATGATGGCGCGACGATGAGAATTGGATAAGCTTAGAGAGAAAATGGCAGGCACAAGTGATGGAAATGATGTGAATCGAAACTTGATAGAGATTTGACAAGAATTGATGAGGTTGAGCGAAGGGCAGGGGGGGGGGAAGGCGAAAGACAAAGGCGACTGGGGGAGGAGAGGCTTTTGACTGGAGCACGATAAGAGAAAGGCAAGGCAGGCGACCTACAAGAGAAGCCTTGAAAGTGAGAAGATCTGAAGATTCACTTGAGAAAGAAAGCGAATTGGCGCAAACACACGTTCACACGTTTGAGCCGAAAGTGAATATCAGATGGAACGAGATAAGCAAACTCGCAACAGAGCTGAATAGTGGTGCGGGTCAATCGGTGGGTGTGGGGGGGGAGGGATGGAAGAAGAAGAGGAAGAAGGGGGGAGAGGAGAGAAAGAAAGAGAGACACGAACGCAGTGAATTGAGGCTGGATGGCCACTGGGAACGGCCACTAGGCCGGATAAAGACTAGCGCGTTCAGGACCTGGGACCGCGCCGCTTTAGATAGAACCATAGAGATCATATATCACAATACTTACTGTACATTTACTCCGTAGAGGTAAGGTAGGTATCAATCACCCGTCCTTCGCAAAGCATTTCTATTTGCACTCAATCCATTGTCACTCTAACCCTTCCCTCTATCTCTTTCAGATCCAGAGATCAAAGCAGTATCCAATTTAGATCAGACAAAAAGGTGGGATATAAATGGCATATTTGTACATAGCTAACAAAATGGGAATCATCCGTGGAAAAAAATCACAACCCGGATCAAACACCGGACTTGATCGAACCGTCGGGTGGTGTTGGTGAGGAGAACCGAGCTGAGTCCGCGAGACAGACCTGGATATGAAGTGACTGGGCAGAGCGTGCCAGCTGTGTTTGTATCAACTGCTTCCAAGCCAGCCACCGCGCACTACTCTTATGACCACCCGCTGATCCCATGCCCACACCGCACCGAGGCAAGATTAAGTGGAATAGCAGGTTTGCTTCAAGGGAATTTTAAGCCATCCATGACGGTCGCAAAACACCAAACTTGACAATAACATTGAGGTACCCGTCGACGGAACTTGGTCGTGAAGCACTGCCCTCCACTGTAAGAATTTAGACCTCCAATGGAAAGACGCCGGGTCATGTCGCATCAGCAGGGGCATGAACAACATAACCCTTCATAAATCGGAACCCGTTTCCCGTCCCGAAAGGAAGAGAATAACAAAACATAATCATCTCACACATGCAACCCTGACAGGCTGAACATCATCAGATGTAAGGGGTGGTAGTAATAATACTTCGTGCCAGCATAACGATATAAACAAACATAAGTGTAGAGGTGACGTGACGAAGAATATGGGTAGAAGGAGGCAATAAACAGAAATAATGGTATGAACGTGAATAGTCGCACATCGCTGGTGATTCAAGCGAAGGGGTTGTAAAAAATAGCACAACAAAACAGATAATCAAAAACCATCCGTAAATCCATGAATGTGATTAAAGGGGCGCATCAGCAGGTAGCCCGAAACGAGAATCTGTTCAACCGTCTTCATCAGACAGCTCAGCAGATTCGTTCTCGCTCTCCTCGGCACTTGTGCTCGCTTTGGCAGTGACAGTCTTGACCTTCTTGGGATTGACAATCTCATCGTTGACGTCGCTTGACTTGCGCTTCTGCGCCGAAGGAGACGTAGTTCCCAGCGCTTTCGAAGCATTGCTGTCCACATTCTCCTGGCCCGAGGGCACACTGCCGGAGGATTGCTTCTTCTCCATTGCAGCGACCTCATCCGCCGTTAAGAACCGTCCACCAGGGCCTCTGGGGCGACGCATGGCATGGTTGTGGCGCGACTCATGCAAGTAAGGCTTTCGTCCCTTCGAGGTCAACCGCAATTGCTCTTCCAGCTTCTGTCGGGCCACGCGGCGCTTCAATATGCGATGGAATTGCTTCGCGTTCACATACAAAGGAGACTCGTCCGCACCACCGGCCACCATATCCGGAGAAGCTTGGCTCTGCTGAATTTGCGGCGGAGGCGGGGCCACCATGGCCGGCGGCACGGAAGGTCGGCCAACGTGGTTGAGGACCGGCTGAGCACTGGGGACATGAGGGCTTCCCACATGGCTCATCCGACGCTGCTGTAGCTGCGCATTCTGCGACATCTGCACTTGAGGTCCCATGGAGGCCATCTGACCGGATATTTGGGGCGGAGACCGAGGATGCCGATCGCTCTTCACCTGAACTCCCGCCATGCGTGGGGATCCCCGAGGGCCAGGTCCCATTTGACCTGGCATGGAGTCTTGGTGAATCGGGTAGAATGGGCCCGATGCTGCGGCCGTCGCCATGGCCGCCGCCTGGGTCGGGGAGATTCCATACGTTTGCGGCATCGCAGCAGCGACACCGTACGGTTGAGAAAAGTTCATCTGCTGATGTACTGGCCCAGGAGCATTTTGCGGCTGTTGATAGTGCGATTGTGAGGGAACGATGGGGGAAGCCTGATGTGTAGGATGAGCTTGTTGCATATGTGCCTGGGGGTTAGTGGGAGAGGTCATTGACCCTACAGCAGGTCCTGCGTTCGGGGGTGCTGTCTGGTAAGGGGCAGCGATGTGAGACGGAGCGTGGGCATGCTGCCCGTGGGGTTGTTGGTATTGCGGAGGGTATTCCATGATGAAGTCGCGACAAGGTCGCCGCACTTCCAATCAGTGAGGTTTGATCGAACGCCCTGGCTGCCAGGAACCAGATAGTCAAGACCAATGATACTACAAAGACGAGCCGGTTGACACAGAGCTCGGTTGTCTGAGACCAGGTTGGTAATGCTCAAGGCACGATGATAGGTCGTGAAGCAACAGTTGCACTTAAGAAGATTACGGTCGTGCACAGAAAAATAAAGGCAGCCGCAAATAGTCTGTGGGCGTGAGTGGTGATTCGACGAGCTAAAAGCGAAGGTCTGCGGATTCTTGTTATAGTGTCAGCATGAAGCGCAGCACCAGTCGGTCACTGGATACAGAGTGGGTGGGGGGGGTGGGTGTTGTGGGAATATGGGGTGAGAGAAAGGCGCTTGCACCTGGGCGCGTACCTCCGCTTTTGTTTTGCCAATACACTTGCTCCAAACTCGGAAGGTCGACAAGAGTGACCGGGCAAGGTTGGACGCTCGTTTGCCAAATCTTCCCAAGCGACTTTCTCCGGCGATTCAGTGTCTTTTGTGGAAATCTCTTTTTTTTTACGTTCTGCTCCGAGTGTAACGTGGTTGGGCTTCGATGCAGTGAACCAGGGTGTCCTCGATAAGATGTTGCACTTGATGCGTTGTCAGACAAAGCGCAATCGCTTTTTGGTGATAGCGCACAGGTATATCTCCAACACAACAAAAATAAATGCTACGCAGTATAATGAGACGACAACTGGCAAGCTACCTCGGTCGAAGCTGCGCCGTCTTCAGAGTCAGTCGGACTGCTTGCTTGGCCACGTCCGTCTGAGGCGGTGCTAGCAGCGTACTAGGTAGGTAGTCAGCTACTCAGTTGTCACGACCCGGCAGTGCGGGCTTGAGGCTAGTCCACGGGTCCCCGGAACTATAATGCGGCCTGGGAGGCGCTGATGTCAGGATGCGCCTGAAGGGAGGCTTGCACGGGCTTTTCTCAGCTACAGCAGACAATTAGCATCATTCATCTCCACCAAGCAAGATTTCAGCTTTTTTGATTTGTGTGCTGTCATCCAGGGTAGGAGTGTCAGGGTTGAAGGGGGCGTGGTGGGGAGAAAGGAGGGGAAGGCAAGAAGACCGTGGCGCCTTAGTCCATTCAGGGCTGAAGGATGTATGCGTTGGCAAGCGGGATTATGATGCAGCCGGTGACATACCTTGTTAGCTGCAACGCACTCGCCAGCCGAGACAAGGGGGAGTAATCTTCGTATTTTTTTGGGCAAGCCAGGCAAGCCAGTATCAAAGTACGTGAACTGAGGTCAAGGCTAGACTTCAGTTCGTGATGACGGAGATATGATTCGCGTCTAATGAGAAAGGTGACAATGTTAGAGATATCAGATCAGAGAAACGATGGAGAGCAGGGATTGACGCGTGGTGATTGGAGCTTGACGGGCGGCGGGGGGGCGAGCAGCAGGTGAAACACAACAGAAAGCATCGCAATCTAGACAAGCATGACACGATCGCGGATCAAAGGAGACTTGGCAAATTGGGCCAACGGCAGCAAAGAAAGTACTTTCAGGAACATGTAAACAAAATAAAACGTCCAGGCTTTTGGTTTCTGTTTTGCATGTTCTCCAGAGGGTGTGGGAGTGTGAGGGATCACAGGTCGGTCGCGCCGTATGGTAAGTCGCGATCGCAGCGGAGGGCAGAAACAGAAAACAACAACACGCCTCTGCCTCGTGGTTTGAAACAAGGTTAATTACCTTTAGCAGCAATTATTCTCCGCGGGAAGGGAGAAGGTTCCAATGCAGCGCAACACAGGAAAATAAAATAAAAATAAAAATAAAAAAACAGAAATAGACAAAGTCAAGTCAATGATTTGTCGGAGATTGAACTGTCACGAGGGGAGGGATCTGGATTGATTCGCGGGGAGTTCGCGCTTCCAAGAAGAAAGGCGGACAGCAGCTGCTTGGTAGGTTGCTAGCACTTCTCTCTCACGTTCTGTTCTCTCACTCTCTCTCTGTCTCTGCGGTGGCTGCCGCTGATGTCAGTCCGGCCCGGGAATGATCCGCTTGAGTCAAACGCGCCAAACATCATGGGAAACCCACCCTTCCCCGGGAAGAATCAGGAAGTATGACAGAGCGCCAAGCCTTTGCCTTGTTCGAAGAAATACCAAACGGGGAATGCAATCAAGCGCAGAAGGATCAGACTGATGATGGTGGTGGAGGCTTGACTGATGAACAAATCATTATGGTTGGGGCTTTGATAGGAAATGCCGGCAGTGAGATGCATGGCGGTTGGAGAAACAACAACCTGGCTGTGCCGCTTGTACACTCTCACTTACACAACACGGGCGCGGGCGGGGGAAAGGGAGATTGGGGGGGGGCCAAGTCTCGGAGATGAAGAAGGAGGGAGGGTGCAACCGGATTGGGCGCCAACCAGATTAAAGTGATGCAATCAAAGGCGACGAGAGAGAAATAAGATCATCACAATGCAAAAGCAAATGTGAGCCAGGGGGAGGGAGGGAGGATGGAGAATAGGTTTTGGGAAATAAAAAGAAACAATATTGGAATTGAATTGTAGACAGACAAAAGAGTGATAGTGTTCACGTACCTTAGATGGTGATTTGGTAACAACCTTGGTTGTGACAGAAGAGAGACAGGGTAAAGTGATCAATCACAAGAGACTGACAGATGGGGAGGTGGAAAGGGCAAACGACGATTGGGTTGGACAAGAACCAGATGGGTTTGATTGATCTTGAAAGCCAACCCAAGCAAGGCCCAAGCAGGAAGAGCGAGTAGGAAAAAAGGAAGAAAGGAAGAAAAAATGAGGTGGGAAACCAATGGGCGTTCAATGCGTTCAATGGTCTCAAGGAGCTCTGTGCGGGCAGGACAAGAACAGTCCAACTGGGGGGGTTGACTGGATTCCCTTGGGAGGGACACGCAAGGACTGGAGAGGTTGGATGACCAACGAGAGTGAGCAGAGAGAGAAAGCCGCAGCGAGAGGAAGGGGCGAGCGATGGGGCATTTGTACCGGCCGCAGTTGCGAAGGGGAGCTGACTGGCTCGGTAGCTTCGTCGACTTTCCAACCTTTCCAACAAAGGTCGCCTCCAGGGTTTTTCGCTCCATCGGGCTTAGTTTTCACCTCTCCGGCCTGTCTTAGGTAAGGCGGACCGTCACTGACCGTCATGGTATGGTAAGATCTTATATCTCCCAACCACCTCCACCACCACCTCCCCAAAGGTTTCAAGCTTTGGGATGAGGGGTGCAATCGCGGCAACAAATATGACTTATATCATTTAAATTACTATGGTTCAATCCCTGCGATCATCTCTCTTTTCAATCTCCTCCTCACTATCCTATCCTCAAATAACACAGAAACACAGAGAGTCGCCCAGGAACAGGGATGCTTCGCTGCCCAGTCCGCAGAGCATCCGGCCATCCCGAATGCTCATTTTGTGACCCTCATTCAAGGTGTGACCCAACCCGGGCCAAGTCTCCCCTCGGGACGCGAACACAGCTGTAAGACCGAGGATGGTGGCCGACCTTCGATTTCACCAGCCACCGGTCCTGGAACAATAGGCAGTAACTTAGCTATCAACCGCCGATCCATCTCATGTCTTTCTCTGGGACCAGCGCCGTGCCTCTCTCTCTCTCTCTCTGAGACAATTGTTCTCTGGTTGAGAATTACGCACCATGTGTGACTCTGGTTATACAGTACTCGAGCTGATTGTGTCAAGCCACTAACTACTTACTGTAAATGTAGGCACTAGGCACTACCTTAGCCAGAACGTGCTTCCTGCACCATGCGACTTGGGCTTGAAGTCACACTGATTGTCCTCTTGTAAGCGCGGCCGTTTTCTTGCTTTTCTTACCGTACGCCGCACGGTTGTGTAGTCTGCCACAGGCCAGTGCGTAAACGTCAGCGGAGTTCATCGAAAGCCGTGGCCAATCTCGGTTATATCTCCCCTTCAGGCAAGACACCTCGGAAAATAATGATCATAGAAATTGCGAGCACGAGCACCTGAATTGCTCTCTATCTATTCCAGCAGGTTCAGACTACGCGCGCGCATCATGACTCGAAATGTACTCTGTAGGTGTTCTATTTTTGTGACAACCCGCCTCTGTACGGAGTAATTTATCCTCTTTCTTTTTGCCTTTCCATGACTAGCGCTCGCCCAAGCGCTGAATCACATTCTAATCTAATTTTCGACTCGACCATGGTCCGCTATCGCATGTTGGGGTTACACACCCAAATATCGGACAATGAACTGTGAAGACAGCAGCTCTCTAGGCGCTCTTTTGTCATCTAAATCACTCCATAACTTAGTTGTTGTGGAGGAATCAATGGAGTCATGTGATTGTCCTCATACTTCGGTCCATGTCGAACGGTACAATTGATGGCTTTCGCTTGGAAGAAGAACCAACCATGGGAAATTGAAGATCTATGGTGCTGCTGGAATCATATCGTAGACTGGGCAGGCTCTGTGTGCAGTTGGCGTAATGTCTACATCCGATCAGAATATGAATCATAATCTGGGTCTGGTTGTCCTGTAACAGAAGGTCCTCCGATCACAAAATATATACATCCGCTCTGACACGAGGCTCAAGTCTCACTCGCGAAAGATCAGGCCCAATCCCGTGACTGAGCACTTAAACACATTTTTTTTTTTCACAAAGCATCATAAACCATGTTAGCCAGCTTTATCATACTCTGCATACTGGGGTTTCATGTCAAGTTCATGTTAATTGTGATTACCCATGGGATGGCAGGGTGTGGATTTGCTGGGCTGGTCTGTTCTTTACACCACGTGTGAAGTTTGACCGCCTGCCGTACCCCTACAGCGAGCAGCGCCTACTCTGTTAGCTTCAACGGACCTGAACAAAGAACCTACAACAAGGGTACGACAACATTTTAGACCCACAGATATTCTTAGATATAGGCGATATGTGCATGCTTGCCTGAGAAACTGCACTTCGAAATCACGAGGATTTTTGCTATTTATTTATTATGTCTAAGACACGTACTGTCCGACCTCGTATCATGGCTGGGATCCGAGAATTGACGCTTCCTACAAAGTACTGTCCAGGTAACTACGTTGATGATAAGTTACTCCCAGTCTGTACGGATTTTAAAAAGCAAGAGGCATGCACAGAAGCTCTGGCCATGTGACGTCAGAGCACTTGTAGGCGGCAGTCCCCGACTTCCCGCCACACCGCTCTTCTTTGTCGCAAATCCAGCTGTTTTCATGGGTAAACAAACCATCAGACTACCTCCCCGTCGCGCTTGTCAAAGCTCACTTCCATCGTGACTGGATGTATTCCGCTGGCATGGATCGTCGAGTCTTGAACTTTCCGCTTGGCTGGGAGTGTAACCCACATTCGCGAGAAAGCGCTGGGCCGAAGGACAGACCGAGCGCTGCGGAGGGTTCCACTAACCAATCTTCCGGGATGCAATACACTCACATACCATCACCTCTGGTCGCACGAGCATGGCCTAACCGATTTGATCTGTGCTGCTGCCTTTGGATAGAGGGATGCCGTAGAGCATCTATCCTTATTGAATTGCCCTTCAACTGATCGGACCGCAATGTGGATTGTTGGATCAACAGACCATATTAGCAAGCGATACCACCTGATTTCATAGTTCGTTCGACGCGATAAGAGGTGGGCTCTGCTTGGAATCTACCCGGTACATCACCTGCTTCAATGCTTTGATCCAGTTCATGGCAGCGTACCTGTAGGTATTTGAGTCCTATAAATCACACCTTATGCCTCCGCTGCCGCCTCACGTGGTTGAGGATCGATCTAATTAACTTTTCGCCAACATCGTGTTCTGAAACTGCCGTGCATCCGGGTTGATGGCTATTCTCCCCCAAGCGCGGGGTGGCGGCAACTGTTGGCTTAACTCGATCCTCGCAGGGGCAAGATAACATGATCACTAGACCTTGCCTTTCGTGCGTCCGTTCGACCGGATCGACTTCGTCCTTGGAGGCACTTGCTTGTCATACGCGCAGTCGGAAGACACGAAATGTGGCCGCACCGAAGAATGGTAACCTTTGATATTACCGTGGATTCAGCTTGATCGCAGGGATGAGCTTCTATGCCTGAAACGCACAAGAATCGAATCAACCCGGGGATGTCGAAACATGTCAGAGGCACCGGGCGGTTTATGAGCATGTGCTCAGGTTGACAGACAGAGAAAGGATGGATGCCGAACTGTCAAATTTCGAAATTTTGTCTTTCTGAAACCACATTGATCCAACATCATGGGACCTCTGTGACGGTTTTCTTGCCCCTTGTGCTACGCAGGTGATTTCAAGCACAATCGTCTGTCATGCAATTGGAGAACTGCAGTACGGATGCAATGAATCAAAACTTAGTGATATGGGTTGTTGATACAAGTTCACCTGTTGTCTTGGGAAATCTGTGGTCGCAATAGGCAATGGCGCCCGGGCTTACCTGCGATGATGTCCCGTTGCGTATCCTGTACCGGAAATGACTGCCATATTTATCGACTTTGCATATTACTCCTTTGTGGACTGACTACACCCGGGAGAGCTGAGGTACCAGTGACAAACGAATCGAATTGACTCTCCAGGGCCAGCTCATGGTGCTGACTTACGCAGTGAATACTAACCGCAGCCTCTATCTCATAAGAAGCATCAAGAGAAGATACTTACACATGATCGTATCATCAGACTCGAAACAATTGCGTCGCACGATTAAGACTCGGGCTGAGCAGTAGCTGGCAACTCCTGACATTTGTAAGCGTGAGAGGCAGCGAAAGGACGGGCATCAGAGTTTCGCCCGCAATCCACACTGATTGAAACGTGTGCATGCCACCGTGTGCATTGATAGGATGGTTCTGGATATGACGCTTTCAAGGAGCGGTCTATTGGCCGTCCGGCCCTGGATCAGGTGTTGCTTGATGTGCTGGTCCCGCCCCGAACTGTTCGCTAGATAATGATATGCTACACTCCAGATACCGGGCCTTTGATGATTCGAGTCTCCGCCCATGTTGAACTACAATTCGGTAAGATACAGAGGACCACAGAATGTTCACATGAGCAGTAGTGATACTACCTCATTAATCAACACGGAAGAATGTTCCAGACTGTGAGGTTATGTACGCTTCAGAGTTTCTTGTGTGATATCCTTCAAACTCTCTGCGTACCTTCAAATCTTCTCTTCCGGTAAGGGTTCCTCCTGCGAGGTGCTTACGTCTCCCCAGTGCTTCTGGCTAAATGCATGATGATCAGAAGGGGGAAACTCAATCACCAAAGAAAAAAAGACCGACACATCAGGCTTATTGCCGCACAGCGTCTGGAGTGGACAATGATGATCCCAATCGTGGACGAAAGGACGGTCATGAAGACTCTACCGCGATGATCCCACAACTCCAAAATTACCCATGACGCAAAGTATTCGTTCCAAGCAGCCTTCGAATCGAGTTACCCTGACACTACAGAGCCTTTCGTTGAAGAAAGTACCTCCGCTCGAGCAGATGTAACACCGTGATATACTTCAGGCGCCCGCTATGAGCGACATCAGCAGGGTGACATCCACCACTGAGTCGTGGGGGTCACCAATATATGTTTACATAAGTGACTACTACGTTGACTGAGGAGAAGGGTTGTCCTTATTGGACAGTGATATGAATTGATCAACCTGGTAGATACCAACAACCTCCGTTGCCTATCTGTCCATCTCTTACAGGTTCGAGGAACCAGTCCACAGCATCCTGCCAACTGTACATGCAGCCTTCGCGCAAACCTTTTTACAAATGAAGTAGTCCTGGACGGTTGACGGGAAGAGTACCTTTTCATATGACTTTTCAACCTCAGTGTCCGCAAACATGAGCGCCTGAATTTGAGGCAGCAGATAAAAGGTGAGCCAGAAGTGCATGAGTCTGATTATTTAATTACGAATTACGTGGTCGGGGCCGGGCCCAGAATACCTGTATCGAGCATGTTTGAAACACTTGGATGAGAAGAGATAGTCTTTTCTCATATTCGCTTTCCTCAACGCTTGGGAAGAGACGCCAGTTCTTCAGACTGGACTCCGCGTAAAGGTTGACTCGTATGACCTACACCTAACAGAGCCAGCAGTAATGCCTAATTGCCGTTGAAAGTAGAGGCAGCCGGTCTGAGTCAGTTTTACCCCTCGAGAAATCCAGTGTTGATTGACACTATTGCATGTCCAGTCTGCCTTACTGCCCCACTGCCTCACTACGGCGACAAGATAATATTGGAGGGCTTGAAGAGTAGATGCTTACTTTACGCCTCGTTTCATCAAGTGAGAAAACGCCAGCCTGACCCCGCAGTAGTCTCACTGGGGGCAGGGTCGTGTGGTATTCAGGTCGCATGGATCCGGAGGGGTTTCGTAAAGATACTCCGAGGGATTATGAAAGGTTGGGCAGACAAGCACTTCCGACACAGAGTGACGTAGCACACACACGTGGGAAATATTGGTGATTATTACTACTTGGCAGCAGAGTACAGCTTATGATAACTATCCTGCTCTGATTGTTCAAATGATAAGTGTGATATTCCACGGCTTGTTCATCAGCGCCATCTAGTTCCCTCCCAAGTTCATGGCTGCAGTGGGGAGTGGATAACCTCTGGAACCGGTGGAACTGCAGCAAAGGGTTATCCACTATGGACCTATTACACCGTCACGATCCTCCAAGTACCAGATCTGTCAGACACCTTATATTGGGGAAAGCAAATCATGATGCTCCCAGGACAGATTCGCGAATTCGTGCCTGCAGATGTATGCATGGGAGATGGTGAGATAAGTTGTTTACCACTGTGTGAGGCAGGTAAACTCCCTAGTCAACTAAGCCAAGAGTGACTAAGCAGGTTACCCACTGCTTTTATGTACACAGTAATCTAACTGCGATTGGATGGAAGTGTCAACAGGGTCGCTTACGTGATCTCCCTCGAAGCGCGCCCCGTTTCATAGTGTGGCTTTTCCCCGTCCCGTGCTGTTGCTCCGAGTCCATGCTGTTGCTGCTTGCTTGGGGGGCAAAGGGCAACGAAGAACCCAAGAACCAACCGATTTCTTAGCCCAAGTCGGTCAGTCCCCGGACAAACTTTCCACACCACACCCACACCCTCTAAACTACACCATTACCGCTTGGCTGGGTTCACCCTCGATTCGATCTCCTTGTCGCACCGCAGTCGACTCCCTCCATTGACCTTCCATGTTCATTGCGATCCTACCCCTAAGACGCGCCAGACGATCCGCCCCGCAACAATACATGACGTCTCTGTTGATATTCAGCCTCGACTGTCGATTTCCGAGTGACCCCTCTCTAATCTGAGACCCCTCGAGCTTAAGAACGCATTCAGCCGCGGATCTCAAGCCAGAACACCAGCTTGCGAAACATCATAGGGCGGCGCTCCTTGTAGCGTTCGCGACTTTGTGTTTCCCGCTTGTACTGTCGAACAATAACCCCTGTCACCTCGTATCGATAAGGACAAGAGAGAGCGGAACAGAAAATAAACTAAGAAGAAAGGACCTTCCCCCGGTGGGAAATAGATCAAGATGGCTGGTGGAGGTAATATCAAGGTGGTGGTGCGAGTGCGGCCGTTTAACAGCAGAGGTGAGTGACCAACCAACAAGCCATGCGACGGAGCTTGCTTGCTCAATTCAATCGAACCTCGACTAACTCGCCAATTGCTCTTCGCGTCTAGAACTCGACCGCAATGCAAAATGTATTATCCAGATGAAAGGGAACCAAACGGTTCTCATTCCCCCTCCCGGAGCCGATGATAAATTAAGGAAGGCCGGTGGGAAAGGTGCTGTGGAAGGACCGAAAGCGTTCGCCTTCGACCGGTCGTATTGGTCTTTTGACAAGAATGCCCCGAACTACGCCAGCCAGGATAACCTCTTCAGTGATTTGGGTGTGCCCCTATTGGACAATGCTTTTCAAGGCTACAACAACTGTATTTTTGCCTACGGTCAGACGGGTTCCGGAAAATCGTACTCGATGATGGGGTATGGCAAGGAGTATGGTGTGATCCCCCGGATTTGCCAGTCCATGTTCGAGCGCATCACGGCGATTCAGCAGGACAAAAACCTCAGCTGCACGGTGGAAGTGTCCTATCTCGAAATCTACAACGAGCGTGTGCGCGATCTGCTCAATCCCTCGAACAAAGGAAACCTCAAGGTCCGCGAGCACCCGTCCACGGGTCCATATGTGGAAGACCTGGCTAAACTGGTCGTGCGCTCCTTCGACGAGATCGACAACCTGATGGACGAGGGTAATAAGGCTCGAACCGTGGCCGCAACGAACATGAACGAGACCTCCAGTCGATCGCACGCCGTGTTCACCCTCACCCTCACCCAGAAGCGCCATGATGCTGAAACCTCGATGGACACCGAGAAAGTCTCGCGAATCAGTCTGGTCGATCTTGCAGGTTCGGAAAGAGCAAACTCGACGGGAGCCACCGGCGCTCGGTTGAAGGAAGGTGCCGAGATCAATCGATCGCTCTCGACCCTGGGTCGTGTCATTGCTGCGCTGGCAGACGTGGCGTCCGGGAAGAAGAAGAATGCGTCCATGGTTCCCTACCGTGATTCGATCCTCACCTGGCTGCTGAAGGACTCGCTGGGTGGTAACTCCATGACAGCCATGATTGCGGCGATTTCACCGGCCGACATCAACTTCGATGAGACTCTGAGTACTCTGCGCTATGCAGACTCAGCCAAGCGAATCAAGAACCACGCCGTGGTTAACGAAGACCCCAACGCACGGATGATCAGAGAACTGAAGGAGGAATTAGCACAACTCAGAGCGAAGCTTGGTGGTGGTGTAGCGGCCATGGCAGGCGCGGCGGCTGGCAATCTTGCCGGTGCTGACGGAATCCCACCCGAGGAATCTTATCCCCCAGACACGCCTTTGGAGAAGCAGATGGTCTCGATCCACCAACCCGATGGCTCAGTTACCAAAGTCAGCAAAGCGGAGATTGTGGAGCAATTGAATCAAAGCGAAAAGCTCTACAAGGACCTTAATCAGACATGGGAGGAAAAGATGGCGAAGACGGAGCAAATTCACAAGGAGCGAGAAACAGCCTTGGAGGAACTGGGTATTAGTATCGAAAAAGGCTTTATCGGGCTCAGCACGCCGAAGAAGATGCCCCACTTGGTCAATCTCAGTGACGATCCCTTGCTCGCGGAGTGTCTCGTGTACAATATCAAACCAGGAACCACGATGGTCGGCAATATGGATCAAGGTAGCCACGTGGAGATCAGACTGAACGGCTCCAAGATCATGGCGGATCACTGTAAGTTCGAGAACGTGGACAACATCGTCACTATAATTCCTAGCGAGGGTGCCGCCGTTATGGTCAACGGACTGCGCATTGATCAGCCCAAGCGCCTCAAAAGTGGTTTCCGCATCATCCTGGGGGACTTCCATATCTTCCGTTTCAACCATCCGCAGGAAGCCCGTGCCGAACGAGTCGAGCAAAGCTTACTGCGCCATACCGTCACTACAAGCCAGCTTGGCTCGCCTGCGCCTAACAAGACCCATGACCGCACCATGAGCAAAACCGGTTCAGAGATCGATGGTGATTCAAGTAGGGCCGATTCACCGATGCCGTCTCAGCCCAGCAGGGAATCCGATTGGTTCTATGCTCGTCGTGAAGCAGTCAGCGCTGTACTGGGGCCCGATCACATCTCTCACATGCCTGATGATGAGCTGGACGCCTTATTTGAAGACGTGCAGAAGGTCAGAGCAACACGGCGAGGTTTAGCGGAGAATGAGAACGAAGAGGACAACGAGTCTGATTCGCTAAGCTCTTTTCCTGTGCGAGACAAGTACATGTCGAACGGTACCATTGACAATTTCTCACTGGACACGGCCATCACGATGCCCGGAACTCCTCGCCCCAACGATGACGATGAGGGACAAAATGGAGCCGATGCGACTCTGCAATCTGTGCGTCAGGACATGCAGCGGCAATTGGACCGCCAAAAAGAGGAGTATCAAGACAAACTGAGAAATGCAGAGACCTCATCTACTCAAGACGTCGAAGATCTCCGCTCTGAGAAGATCCGGATGGAGGAGGCCTTGCGGACAGCGAAAGAGGAATTCGAGGAACAACTGAGAAGACAGAAAGAGGAATTCGAGTCCCACATGAAAGATTTAGGTCAACCGGTGCCCAAGGTCTATGAGAATGGCTTCGCCAAACTCGACGCCCGGGAACTCGAAATTGCACGTTCGGTTCATCGCCACTGGTCTCAGCAGAACTACGTTCGCATGGCCGAGAAGGTGTTGCAGTACGCTTCGCTACTGAAAGAGGCTCAGGTTATGAGTCAGATAATGGATAAGAATGTTGTATTTCAGTTCGCGATCATCGATCATGGGCACAACATGGCCTCGTCTTACGATCTTGTACTGAACGGTATCTCAGGCGATGAGGACGTCGTTTTGGACGATGCTCGAAAACCGTGCGTAGCTGTCCGCGTTATCGACTTCAAGCAGTGCGTGATTCATCTCTGGTCCATCGAGAAGCTTCAGCGTCGCCTGCAAGCTATGCGCCAGCTACACCAGTACATCGACCGTCCGGATTATATTCAGCACTTTAAGCTCGAAAATCCCTTCTCCGAATCCTGCTCGCCTCAGTACTCGCTTGTTGGCGATGCCGACATTCCGCTCACGGCTGTCTTTGAGACTCGTGTCCAGGACTTCTCGGTCGAAGTTTTCTCACCGTATACGCAGAACGTCATCGGCATTATTCGGCTGTCTCTGGAACCATCCTCCGCTCAGGCCCCATCCTCCACGCTCAAATTCAACGTTGTCATGCGGGATATGGTTGGGTTTGCGGAATGGGAAGGCTCGGAGGTACACGCTCAGCTGGTGGTCCCTGGGATCTCCGAGGAAGGCGGTGCTACTACGACGCAGATGATCAGCGGCTTTGATGAAGCCCCGGTCCGATTTGAAAGCGTCCACAGCATGAGCTTGCCACTATCCAGCCCGCGCAGCGCTGCCCTCAAGATTTGTGTGTATGCGCGTGTGACCCAAATGCACCTCGACAAACTTCTTAGCTGGGATGACATGCGTGACTCGGCTGAGCCAACCCCGAAGAAAAGGAAGACGCCACGGATTGCCGAGACGGAGTTCTACTCGGAAGAGCGACACGACGTCTTTGCCCGAGTGCAGATCCTCGAGTTGGCGGAATCTGGTGAATACCTTCCAGTCGAGGTTGTTCAAAGCAATAGCCTCGATGCAGGCACATACCAGCTGCATCAAGGCCTGCAGCGTCGGGTCATGGCGAATCTGACCTACAGCTCAACCGAAAGTCTCCCGTGGGATGATTTGACAAACATTCGCGTGGGATCTGTGCGGTTGCTGGATCCATGGGGCAAGATTCCTGACCAAGACCTGCAGACTCCAGACGTGCCATTGAAATTTGTCCAGGAGCCAGGTGTGAAGGAGAACGCAGACGGGACTTCCAACATTACCATTGTTGGTCAATGGGACTCTAGTTTGCACGGGTCTTTGCTTCTCGACCGAGTCACCGCGGACAAGTATCGCGTCCAGGTGACTTTGAGGTGGGATCTGATTTCTTCACGTTTGCAAGACCCAGTACCCTTTGAGATAGACTTGACTCTCCAGATTCAGGGTCGGACGTATGTGCGACCGCAATCCATGTTCAAACAATTCTTCAATACGACGCGAATTGTGCACTCTACTGTCCGCATGTTTTCCCTGGTTGTGCGACCAGTCTCTGCCAAGCGTGCCGCCGACCTGTGGCGCATGAACACACAGAATGACTACGTCAAGGGCGAGGAGTTGCTGACTACGTGGTCCCCACGCAAGGTGTCGCTTGTGCGGGATTACATTGCTGTGCGCAAACGCCGCCGCCGCATAGCCGAGTTGTATGCTGCGAGGGGAGCTCTGAGTGCCAACAGTCTGGTGGCTTCGCCTATGCGCAGCGGACGCTCGACCCCTCTGCGCAGCCAAGACCGCGCCGGTCGCGATGCGAGACTTTTGCAGAAGTATCTCGATCTGTGGGCCAAGAGGACTGATCCCATTGATGCGATTCTTGTTCGGAGCAACACCGAGCCTCCTGCAGGCGGGGCGGCTTCTTCTCGGGCCCGACAAGCTTCGTCCAGCGATGATGGCAACTCCAGCTCCGCCTCCGACGAGGCCTCCTTGAAGCCGCGATTCGTAGCTACGATCCAGACTCTGCCCAAGAACACCTCTGCGCTGAAGTCGGGATATCTGCTCACTCCGGACGATACCAACCGCCACTGGGTGAGACGTTTTGTTGAGCTTCGCCGACCTTATCTCCATGTCCACTCTGTCCCTGACGGGGACGAGATCAATGCCATCAACCTTCGCAACGCGCGAGTGGACCACTCCCCGGACTTTGCACGACTTCTCGATGGTCCGGGCACGGGGGACCGCGGATCTCGGGGTCGTCATGTGTTTGCGGTGTATGGATCGCAGAATACGTTTTTGTTTGCCGCGCGAACGGAAGCTCAAAAGGTGGAGTGGATCTTGAAGATCGATGAAAGCTACTTCAACAATGCGGGGGCGCGGGCGATGACGAATGGTGGTTGAGTCATTTGTCGGTTCTTCCCCCCGATTCCCCTCTGTAATACATTTTGACTCGTTTTGTTTCTGATTGGCAGGCCTGGTGTTTTCATCGTTCGTTAGACTCTTGACAACCCTTTGATTGATGTTTGAGATACCCCTGAAGAAATTTGCCCCATGGCACCTGATCTCCTGTACATAGATCCGAGACTAATTCGACATAGAGCGACTGTACTGTGTAAGTCGAGTTGATGCGCGATGCGATATGACGTTGTAGATGTCTGGTGGAGCGATCAGATCGAGTATAGATAAGGAGATTCGGGGTTGGTTGCCATGACAACCATCGTTGCATCATTTGCAAGGGGATCTCTCCGCCTCACGAGCTTATCGTCGTCGTTGTCGGGGTTGGACACATCCAAGTTGCGCTTTATTCTCGTGTCTCCCCGAGATGTTCTCGCTTTCGAGATCACACCTCTTTGCAACTGCCGCCGTTTTTTCTCTAGTGATCAGCACATTCCTCATCCTCGGCACGCGGTACACCACTTCGATCGCCAAATCTGCTGCGCTGCAGACATCGCTCCCACCGGGCGGCTGTCCCCACGTGGACCCCGTGTGGAATGAGACGATCGACTGGGAATTTCAGGTCGAGCGCGACGGCAACAACTACGGCTTAACGCGGCAGCAGTGCCGAGCAGCCTTCCCCAAGCTCTTCGTCGAGATTGACAACTCGACAGCCACTCGGGGGGATAATCCGATCACCTTGAAAGAGCTCGATGCGATCGAGATAGCGGATGGGATGGTTCGGGGAGTGATTGAGAATGGCGAGGTTGGCCCCGACTACTATACCTCTGCGCTTTAACCCCACCACCGACAATCTTCCTTACAGCAGCAACAACTGACCCATTAAACCCCCCTCCCCCATATGGGGGGGCCCGGGGGAAGGAACTCAAATAGTTATACATTCTCGACTACGCCCCTCAACCCGCCACCTTCACCCGCGCCAAAGCCACCCTCCACGCCCTGCACCGCGCCCTAACCGCCTCCCCGACGCGCCTCCCCTCCTGCGAATTCATCCTCACCAGCGAAGACTTCTACCTCCCAGAGGAGTTTGGTGCTGGAAGTCCTGGGGGACGTGGACCGCCCCCTCCGATCTGGTCGTACACGAAACTCCCCTCCCACCGACACACCTGGCTCATGCCGGATTTCGGGTACTGGTCGTGGCCGGAAGTCCACATCGGACCCTACACCACGCTGCGGCACCGCATCCGCACCGTCGAAGCGGCTCTGCCCTTCGCGGCCAAACGCAAACAACTCCTGTGGCGCGGGGCGGTGGCGACGAACCCCGCCGCGAGGGGGACGTTGCTGAAAGAAAGTCAGGGGAAGAGCTGGTCGAGCGTGCGGGCTCTGGATTGGGAGAGCCGGGGGGAGGAGGCAGCGGCGGGGCAGGGCACGGACACCCCGGAGGGCTTCGTCCCCATGGAAGAACACTGCGGCTACATGTTTCTGGCGCATACCGAGGGCCGCAGTTTCTCGGGGAGGGGCAAGTATTTGTTGAATTGCGAGAGCGTGGTGCTGTCGCATCCGCTGCGCTGGGCGGAGGCGCATCATGCGGCGTTGGTGAAGGCGCCGCATCCGGAGGCGAATTACGTCGAGGTTGCGGAGGGGTGGAAGGATTTGGAGGTTAAGATGCGCTGGTTGATTGATCACCCCGAGGAGGCGGAGAGGATTGCGCGGAATGCGGTGCGGGTGTTTCGGGAGCGGTATTTGACGCCCGCCGCTGAGGCGTGTTATTGGAGGGAGTTGGTGTGGGGGTATGCTGGGGTTATGGGGGAGGATTGGCAGGGTCTGGGTAAAGGGAGGAGGGGAACGGCGTTTGAGGATTGGGTGTTGGGGTTTTAAAACTGGGGAATGGGGAAGTCCGGGGATCTCTCCCGGCTTCATTCTTAGGTTAGTGGGTGTATGTATGTATATATATATATGCGTTTGTAGATGGTGTTTGATGTTGGTTATGAGGTATGAATCATGGATTATGGCTTTGGTGGCTCTGGGGCTCTGGGGGTCTGGGGGTTCTCCCGGTACTATCTCTGTACAGGGTACTACTATGTGTTATTTTCTCGTAGAAGGGGGTTGGTTCCCGGGGGGCTCTCCCCCGGGGTTAATTCAATTTCTGTTTGGAAAAAAATATGATGTTGGTGTTCTGGGTTATGTGGTATGAATTGATGATGGTTTTCAGCTGGGGGGTGGTCCCAGGGTGTCCCCCGGGAATCTCTATTTCGCTGGTGATCCTCGATGCAAGGGTGTATATCAAGTATAAACTACAGATTCTCTGCTGGCACTCTTTATCTCCACATGTCGAGAATCCTATACCTTCTACAGTCATAAGAGGTAAAGGTTCGAGGTAACCTCGGTTTGGGAAGTCTTCACCGTGTATACTGCTGCGTATAGCAACTATATAACTTCATGGCATGATCCTAGATGAATCTAACATCATAGAACAACAACATCAAGCCCCCTAATCTCCAAATTCGCCGCATACGTACACCGTCTATCCCCACAGAACCCATGAAACAACATACGGTCTCCACACCCACACACCGTCCCACCCCCCGGGGAGGTCAGATTCCACTGCCCCGTGGCAAACAACTGACGACCCGATTTCGTGTACGGCCCCGTGATCGACGAGGCCGTCGCCCAGCGCACATCATACTTCGGATCGGTATAGCAATGCGTCGAGTAGAAGAGGAAGTAGGTATCACCATGCAGAATCAGATTCGGCGCCTCGACCAGCGGGCCGTCGCTGTCGTCCCGATCGAGAATCTGCACCGCGTCACCAACCGGGGTGACGCCGTCCTCGGCGACCTTCTGCAGCAGGATCGGCGTGGACACGAGCGGCGCCACCCCGTTGTTGCAGTCGCCGCCGTGGCCGATGCTGTTGCCGTCTACCTTGAAGACCACGTAGCGGCTGCCGTCGCGATCCAAAAAGCCCGACGCGTCGATGGAGCCGCCCTGCTCGAGCCGGCAGCTCAGCGGCTCCGCGTTGGGGATGTAGGGTCCCGTCGGGTCGGTCGTCTCGGAGACGGCGACGCCCACGCAGTGGTGGCGCAGGTCGGATTTGGCTTCGCCGGAGTAGTAGAGGACAAATTTGCCGTCGTTCTGGCGGTCTTGTTAGTGGGAGGTGCTTGGATCAGAGAAGCCCCGAACATACCCGCCGCACCACATCCGGAGCCCAGTGGTCGACGGCCGTCTCCCAGCCGGCCAATGTGGGCATCGCTTCCTTATCCAGCAAGGTCCATGTCTCGAAATCGGGAGAGGTGGCCACCTGCACGGTCCGGCCGTTGCCGTTCGTGCCAAAGGCATACCACGCCCCGTCGTCCCCTTGGACAAACCCCGGGTCTGGGAAGTCGGAATCAATGGCGAGCCATGGGCCTGCGGACCGAGGCGCAATGGGGGAGCCAAATGCCGGCACTGCTGCTGCTGCTGCTGCTGCTAGAAGCCAACGGATGCCTTGTGTGGGCCGCATGTCGCGGATTTGATGTAGTCCTTCCTTGGGAAGAGTAGATGAATTTGGAAGCTAATCAGGTTGATGGCAAAAGGTCTACCCCAGGAAGGATCGATCTTATGGATTCAAACCTTTATAGCCACCACGAAAAGTTTCGACACCAGCGGGTCATCCATCGCAAGGCCCGCCTCCATTAGTTATATTAGACTGAATTATTATGAGCAAAACCATCATCACTTGACTCGTACATTCCAAGAAACCGCAGGACTGGGTTTCTTGATTGGGGGGGAGGGGGGGTAGGATGCACACATGGCCCCAGTCCAGAGACATCATTTATGTGGCAGCGGAGCGAATCCCTGGCCCTCTCTCTCTTGATTCCAGTCTGGTAACCATCCTCCCCCGTTGCGCAGCACACACGAACCAGAAACTGATCCAGAAGTAGACCGAAGGCTGGTAGGTGGAGATCGCCGTGCAACTGCCGCACAAGGCTCGCTTCGCATTGACAGCAAACGGTGCGCGCGACCTGCAGCTGTCCACTGGGGTGCGGACTCAACGTTTCATCACCGACTTGTCAGTCTGGGCAAACACGCAACAGACAAAGCGCTGAAGCTGGGTGGAGTCTGGATATTGTCGAGGACGGGCATAGCATCTTGGCTCGCTGACCGATGCAGTTAGTGCCACGAGTGTGATGGTAGATCGCAATTAGAGGGGTAGTTTAGACTCCAAAGTATGACTGCCATGAAAGTATCGAAAAAAGTCGAAGTCGAGGAGGGTGCAAAGGCCAGGACAGCATCAAGGGGTAGGACGGTGATCCTACCACCGCACTCTGTCAGGCTGTGCTGAACATACTGGAAATGCATAGACGCATTGTGATCTGTGATTCTGGACACATTCAGAACAGAACCATCATGATTTGTCGTGCAGAGGATCTTGTCGCTGATAGGAGCAGGGGCCAAGTGCTTGGAAGATCCGCCACTACCGTCGGCCAGCATTTCGTGCCTGACTCGTGCACCGCCGGATTCTCAGACCCAAGAGCTCTGCGCCAAGAGAGGGACACGGGGTGGGAACCTGGCTCCAGACAGCATGAAGGTATTCCCAGCCCAGAGCTCGGGCAGTCGATCACTCGCCTGCTCGTCCGGCACCACCCCATCTGAATCAACCCCTCGGGAAAAGCGAAAGCCTCATCGACACCGCAAGTCTGCTGACTCACTAATATTCGACGTCAGACTCCGCGTGGCGATCGTAGACCCTTGATCGTGTCCCTTGCTTTATCTGGATGCCTAAATCAGCTGAGCGCCCAACGGCTTTTTCGTAGGGATCTCCCTGCGTGAGGTGGAGACTCGAGGACCCCGTGGTATTGTAGACCATCAGGTGAATCAACAGACGATAAGTCGCGTGAGATAAGATCTTCGATCCTGCTCCGATGCGTGCACCCGGGTGGATGGGATGATCCTCCACAGTCCGGAATTGAAGTTGGGGAAGTTGCGGGGAATTCCACCAGTTCGCGCCTGTCGATCACCAGCCGCTTACTGTCGGGGCGAGCAGATCTGAGAACAAAGCCAACTCTTCCCCTGTCTGATTCGCTGCATCCATTCTTCGATGATGATGATGCACAAAAGGACTGAAGGGAATGCAGCATATTCGTCATGTCTTTGGTTTCTGCTGAAGCTTGCTAGAATCTGCTTGATCTTCATGACCGGTCTCTTGATCCCAGGAAGCCAGATTCTGCTTGATGTAAAGCATACATCACTCGGCTGGAGCTTCGGGCGGAACCTGATCACTTTCCTTGACCCGGTGAAGTCAAGTCCTGAGTCGGTATATAATCTACACTAGCGAAACTTGTTTACTTCCTGCAAGTCCAACAAAGTACGAACTGCAAAGTAGTATGATGAATGACGACTATCTGACTGCTCTAATCTAGTCGGTGCAAATTCCATCGGAGGACATCGGAAGCCATATTCCTACTGGCTCAAGTTCAACTTCTCCAGACGCTTCTGACGCATCTCCTGCGTACTCTTGAGCCACTGCGCCGCTCCCTCGATCGCCCCGTGGGGGTCAGACTTGTAGTTGAGCAGATAACCTTGAACCTCAGCAGCGGTGAATTCACCAGATGGCACCTGTGCGGCAAATCGCCGAGCCAACTCCGAGATCCTTTCCAGAGGCGTTGCAGCCGGGTGCACCCCATTCACAGCCTTGACTCCTCCGTTGGACAAACAGGCTTTGGTCTCCTCCTCAAGACTAGACCCCATCTCTCCAGATCGTAGATCGCCCTCCAGCGTAGAGTAAATCGACGCGAACAGTTTCTCGACATCGTGGCTTTGCGCATAGCCGAAAGCAATGCTCATATCGACGCGCCCCGGACGGAGCAGCGCCGCATCCAGCTTCTCGGGGTGGTTGGTGGTCATGATCAGGATGCGGCCCTCGTTGGCAGCCACACCGTCAATCACATTGAGAAGGCCGGACAGCGAAATACCCTGCTTCTCCGGAGCGGCGCCATCGGGCTTGTCGCCTGGGGCTGTGGCACCGGCAGTACTGTTGGTGTCCGTGGCCGTGGCCTTGTCCTTGTCCCCAGCCCCGCGTTTTTGCGTGATGCCCGCACAGTCAACATCCTCCAACAAGATAATGCACCGTCGGGGGAGTCGGTGAAACAGCGTCATCAGGTCGTCCTCGTCCAAGGTCTTGGAGCTGAGATTCAACAGATACAGCGGGACGCCCAACACCCCGGCAGCCGCGAAGCTCAGGCTCGTCTTACCCGTCCCCGGTGGACCGTGAAGCAAGTATCCCCGACGGTAAGGGATTCCCCGGTTGGAGTACCATCGCCTGGTCCTCGGATGCAGGTATTCCTTGATGTCGTTCACAAAGGCATCCTTCTGAGCCTGGTCGAGCACCACCGTAGACAAAGCCCTGGGGGCCCGCGCCATGCAGCGGACCCAGTCGGTATGGCCGTTCGCCTTTTGGCCCCGGTAGATGATCGTGTGGTTGCCATCGCGGGCGACGTACGCCGCTTGCGCGTCCGCGAGCAGCTGCTTGAGGAGGGTAGTGTCCCGTCCAAAGCACGAAATGATCAATCGCTCCGACATGTCCTGCATGTAGAGGGACTGGGCCGACTGGTCACGGATACGATGGAAGAACACCGTGCGGTTCTTGTACTGGAAGTGGTGGACCCCATTCGAGGGCGTGAAGCGTAGGCGCTTGGTGCGGTCCCGCGCGATGATCTGACTCCAGCATTCGTCAAAACTGCTCTTTGCAATCTCTTCCTCGTCGATTTCCGCATCGAACTCTTGGTCTGAGTCCTCTGAGTTGTAGTAGTACCAACCGCTCGCGAGTTGGGTGCTCGCGTAGATGTGGACGGTGTTCTGCATGGTCCGGTGCCGCGAAATCCAGAACATGAGATAAGTGTAGACGTCGTCTTGAATACGGACCTCCGCCGAAGCCATGAAATAGCTCCAGAACAGGTGCTCAACGTAGCTGTACACAAAGTCGGAGGCGAAGTAGATACAAGTGGCGGTTATGATATAGGGGATGTAGAGGGAGAGGTCGATTTGCAGGTATGAAAGTAGGAGTCGGGAGATAAACGCGTACCCAGGAATGAGCCCCTCCAGGATGGCGGTTTCGGAGCCAGTCACGACTGGCGCAGTCGCGTTCATAGTGACGGTGGTAGGAGCACCAGTCGATGATTTTGAAGACAACACTTCTGAGGGCTTGTGAGGCCGAAAGAGATGAATGATGAAGTAAAAGATCAAGTCAAAAGTTGTGTGTCACAAGGAAATCAGTCCTTGAGTCTGTCTTTGATCGAACTGGCCCGGACTAGGCAGACAAGGCTGCGCTGAAATACTCAGAAAAAAAGTAATCAGCATAGAGCAAGGGAAGGAAGAGAGAGAGAGAGAGAGAGAGAGAGAGAGAGAGAGAGAGAGGGAGAGAGAGAGAGAGAGAGAACTTGCTCTTTATAGTTTCATCTTCTCATTGTCAGCCAGGCAGCACCACAGTGTGTTCGTGGATGTCAGGCTGCCAGTAGCAGCTGGAAATTGCCCAAAACAAAAGTTCTAGAACGCGTTGGCGTGTCATGCTGTCAAATCAGTGTAACTCCAGCTGACAGGGCAATGGCTGAACAGAAGAGGCTTGAGTCACTAGCGGTGTCGCTAACTAGTACTGACCGAAGCGAGCAGGTGAAAGCGAGAGGATCGCCACAAAACATACTAACGGAAAGGGAAGGGGATGAATGAGGCGGCGCAGCTCAGCCGCACGGGTTGACACATGATGTCATTCTGTAGTCGGGCTCTCATTTAAGAATAATTTGGATTTTCCATTTCAATATACTATCAATCGATCAACAACGGGTATCTCGAATTATTATATGGTGTGTATCAAGTACTCCCTCCAGAACGCTTCACAAAACCCACTGGGTGGCAGGTAGTATAGTATAATGAAGGAGACAAAACTAACGAATGGGTGGGTGCCTCAAGAAAGCATCCGTTTTACGACCCCGACACGAAGTTATCTTTGACTGTGTCAAACACATCAGTCGCCCAATCCTTCGCCTCTTCGAGCGTTTCCCACAATGTCCCCCACCAGGTCGGACCCCTTTCGTCCTCGCTCCCGGGGCTAGTCTCTGGTGGCGCTTCGACAACTGCGTCATGCGTGAACGTGGGACTCGCAGAACTGGTGGACGTTGTCGAGGGCTTGAGGAGTTCAGCAACGGTGGTTGTAATCGATGGCGGATCAGCAGGCTCCTCTAGATGTGAATCCTCGTCAGAGTGAAGCCCCACCGGTTTCAAAGGAAGACGAAGTGTTCCATTGTTGGGATGTGGCGTCACCCCGAGGGAGTCACAGATCAGGTTGTAGACATTGATATTTTCTGCTGGAGTCAGCTTTCCGGTCAAAGGCGGATAAGCGCAGTGAAACTACTCACGGAAGACCTCTAGCCGACTGTTTGGCTCATGAGGAAACGCGGGGCCTCTCGCAATAAAGATCGCCCGCATCAAGGGGTGCTCATGATCGTAGCCATGAATCCCTTTGGGGTGATAAACCTCTCCGTTGTCAAGAGCCTTTTGGGCGTCGAAATCCGGTCGTTCGACAATCGCCCAACCTGCCTTGGGAATAACCCACAGAGGCGCGATACGGTCATTGTTCTTAAAATGGTATCTTTCGGGCATGCCTTCCCGGGTGTAGAATTCCAGCGCATGAGAGAAGTTGGGTGCCACGCTCTCGAGCTGATTCTGGAGAACTGCCAGGTCTTCTGGTCGCTTGGGACGTAGCCCACGCAGAGGCCAGCCATCGATGCGCGCGACCAAGCTCAGGTCGATCAAGTCTTCAAGCTGCACCAGTCGCTCGGTGGCAGTACTGGCCATTCCATGATCAGAAACAATCACCACATTAACAATTTCAGTCAAGTTGCGATCTTGAAGGCCAGCAAGAAGGCCAGCAAGCATGGTGTCGACCTTGGCTATTGTACTCCGAGTCTCAGTACTGTTGGGCCCGTACAGATGCCCGTCGGCGTCCACGTGGGGAACGTAAGCCGCAATGAACTGTGGGCGGGACGCTTGCGTCGCATCCTCCACGCCAGGCAAGTCCAACAGGCCGAGGATACGATCGACTTTCCGCGAGAGGGCTTCGGAGCCATTGTAGCGGTCAAGAAACGTTGGCTCGACACCGCCGATATGTGCCTCAGAGCCGGGCCACATATGAATGGCAGCCTTCACCCCCTGGTTTTCGGCGGTCATCCAGAGCGGTTCGGCATTCCACCACTTGGCTTGCATGCTGGCAGCGCGGTGAGTGTAGTAGAACTCATCCTCCATCTCCGGGTCCCAGAAAGTATTTCCAACAATGCCATGACTTTCAGGGTATAGTCCAGTCACGAGGGTGAAATGGTTGGGAAAGGTCACGCTCGGGAAGCTGGGGAGCATATACTGCGGGGAGACACCGTTCGCAATCAAGGAGTTGAGAGCCGGGGTTAAGCCACGGTTCAAGAAGTCCGCTCGAAAGCCATCTAGCGAGATCAGGATTGTGGTGGGTGCAAAAAGAGCGGTGCCGTTGGACAAGAAACGATTTGACGAATGTGAGGCTCGGAATTTCGTCGATGCTTTGTAGGCTCCCAACAGGAGTATGAAAAAAAGGACCAAAACTGTGGAGAAGATCAAGAGGAGTTTACGCCATGAAAGACGCGGTGACTAATGATTATCCAGGGGTCGTTAGCAACAATACTACAGATCGGATGGGATTGCACGGAAACCCTTTGGCGGCTTACGGGGACGGAGGCGTAATCCTTGAGGCGGCGGTCCAGATCGGACGAGGAGGAACTCAAGAGCGAGCTCTCATCGTCTGGATGGCCTTCTTCCATCTCAAACAGCATCTCAGCTGATCCTCGCAACTTTCCCCGACGTCTACTGCGAGCGTCCCTCCTGGCCTGCCTCCTTTGTCGCCTGCGTTCTTGCTTCCCAATCCGGACACTGCTGCTATTGGGGCTAAAAATGCGGCGAAGGCCATGAGTCGGACCGCTTCGGGTCAACAGCTTCTCTGTTTCTTCTTCATCGTCTAAAACTGAGCGATCGTGCTCGGCGAGTTCTAAAGTGGTCCGGGATCGGCGCAGGAATTCGTCGTCTTCGGAATCAGAGTCCTGCTCTGAGGGGGAACGTAGCGACTCGGCATCCTCATCGTAACCGCCGGGGGAGAGAAGGGAAGCGTCGCGGTTGTTACGTCGGGAAAGCATGGGGAATGAAAGATGACATGGAGCCGGTGCAGAGACACGCGTTGGAAGCAGACGCGAAAGCAGTGATGGATAACTAACTAGTATGGGAACGAAGGGCACAGTGAACGATAGAATGATAAGGATATTATCTGGCCTGGGCTGGGGAGAGGATCATTTGGGAGGTTCGGGCGATCTCCGGGCCGGTGCCGAAAGGGGATCACCCTCTGGGTTCACCCGCGCTTCTGCTACAGTATCCACAGTGTCACACTCAGCTGTCACTGCTTAACCAAGTACTCCAGCACAGTACACGTTACATTATCGAAGCCTGCGCGTAGCCTACCTAGCCTAGAATCTCCAAGCTATATCACAAGCGTTCACCCGGGAATCCCCAGAGCAATCCTTCTCGAATACTTGCATTAGCACGCGGCCAGCCGAACTCAGTTGCCGATGTCCAGGCGTTGAAAACGTCCACCACGCAATCCTATCCCCGTAACAAAGAAAACCGATCAACTCAACTAACGAAATCGACGAAAAAAAGTCGTGGTTCTAAAAGTAGTAGTCCTCCAAGAATGGATCGACAATCCCGTTTGGGCGGTTGACGAGGGCGCTGTTTCCGGCAATTGGTTCCCGTTGCGGCAACTATAGGGCTGAACTTTGGGAAACTGAAGTAGAAAGTCACATGATATCAACGGTTCTCAACAAGAGGACTGCCACAGACTCGTCTGTGTCTTGCTAACGAAGTCGGAAACTAATCCGGGGAACGACTCTAGTCGTCTCGAAGCCTCATTGGATGAATCTAGGTGACATTTGCCTCCCCGAAAGCAGTAGTTACCGTGTCATCCCGTCGAATTCGGCCCGGCAACGACGGCCTTCATCCTTCTCGAGAGACTTCACATCTCCGAAGAAGTACTCTCGGTTCAACAAACAACCTAGTCCCAACGAAAGCAACAAGCCCCAAACCCAAATACTACTCCCGGAACCGCTCATCAGAAAAACCTATAAAGTTGCCCGAGATTCCCGTGGGACCTCCACCATCCCTCCAGCATCTATCCTCATCTGCATTACCAAGCAAACCAATTCCTATCGCAATCAGCCTTCCCCCTTCAAAAGAAAAAAGAAAAAAGATATACTACAATGCACATCTCCAACCATCTCCTAACCGCCTTAGCCCTCGCGGCAGGCACCGCCCACGCCGCCACCCAATTCAGCAACACCACCACCGTGAGCGTGCCAGTGGTGGTCGAGACCGAACCCCCCGTCACCGTGCCGGCCAGCACCGTGCCCGGCATCGTCCAGACCGGCATTCCAGCCTCAACCACGGAACAACAAACACCACCTGCCAGTATCCCCCTCAGCACCGGCGGCACCGAAAATACCACCCCAGCCATCATCCCCACCGTCACCCCGCCTTTCCCTATACCCGCCAACTCCAGCATCCCCAGCATCGCGACGAGCAGCGTCCCCGTCATCCCCCTGACGACTGCCGCGCCGCCGCCCGCTTCATCCCATCCAGCCACCCCTAGCTCCTCTGCCCCGCACTTTGCTAACTCCACGATTCCGAAGTCCACCTCGGGATCGCACGGCGGCGGTAGCGGCGGTAGCGGCGGTGGTAGCGGCGGTGGTAGCGGTGGGAACGGGGGCGGTGCGGTGCCCACTGGCCCCAGCTCGACGGGCACGGTGACTACCTCCGGCGCGAGCACGACAAAGAAGATCGTCTCGGCGTTGTCGTTGGTAGGGGGGATGGTGGTTGGGGTGTTTGTTTTGGCTTGAGGTTAGGGTGGGGTTTAGCTTGGCTTTGCCTGAGCTTGATCTGGGCTTGAGTCGGGCTCAAGCTTGGCTTGGGGCTTTGATTTGACTTCAAGCAGGCGAGGTGTCAGATCGCAATCGCGGAAAAACCCCCAAGGAGAAAAAGAGCATACATCATCATCCTGATCCGCTGATCGGTTGCGCTTTACCTTGCGCTGTGTGCTCGTGGGATGTTTCATGCTGCCTTTTGCTTGTGGCTTTGTTTTGGCTGTTTCTTTGGTTTGCACATTGCATATCTATTTTTCGGAATCAAACATTCTTTGACATTCTTTCTGGATATGGAATCTGTGGAAATGAGAAAATTCGAAAAAGAACTATGGATTGGAGTTTGGGATAAGGAGAACGTGGCGTTCGGAGGGGTGGGGTTTACTAGAAGAAGTTCCTATACTAGTTAATACAGAGATATATATCGAGTTCCCGGTCTTACATGTTACACTCGTCGTGGTGAAGTTCGAGCAGATGTAGGTTTCGATTCCTGTCAAGTTTCGAGTATGGATATTTAAGATGTGATGAAAAAAATGTCATGTATTAAGGGCAGTAATAGAGGGAGTGGGCTTTTTCTTCTGATCCACTCAGGTCATGAGGTTGAGATCCAATTCACCCATTGACACAAACATCCACCCGTCCCCCCATCGACCCCACCGTACTCCGAACTCGTCTCGTTGGACGTCGACGACGACGAGTTACTCGCAAAGTCGAATATCCCCGGCGCCGGATTCACCAGCTGACCGCCGTACCCCCGGTCCTCCACCTGAAGTTTCACTAGCGTGGAATTCACCTTCTCGTTCGCTTCCATCGCGTAGCAGTACACCATCTTCTTCTTGGCCTCGCCACCGTGGCGGTCCAAAGTGATGGTGACCGGGTACGGGAAGGATCCGGGCCGGGTAAAGTCCGTTGCGGAGGACGTAGAGGTGGCCGTGGAGGACGCACTCGAGGCAGACGAGGTTGGGGTGGCGGAGGCGGATGCGGACGCTGATGGCGGTTGCAGCAGAGTGTCCTGTGACCGGGTCCAGATCTGAACAAGGAAGCGCGTCTGGGCCCAGGTGCAGCGCACGCGGGCTTGCTCTTCGGTCGAGCCGCCGCTACTGTCGTCCGGATCGTCGTCCGTGTTGCTGCCGTTCAGAGGAGCGAGGGAGGACAGGAATATGGAGCGGTCGAAGTACGTGTAGAAGCCATAGTGTTCCGTGGCTTGGCCGCGGTTGTAGAGGCGGACGGGTTGGGACTCCGACAGCGGGTAGAGCTCGGCGGCCGCGGCGGTGCCGTCGGAATTCAGATCGGGTGAGGGAATGAGGGAGTCGAGGTCGGGGAAGGTGTCGTCTCTTTTGCGGGTCAGTCGTCGCCGGGTGGACGAAATTGAGGATGCCGAGGCAACTGAGAGAAAGGTCATGAAGAATGGCGTCTCTTCACCAGCGTATGGGGCGCTATTGTTGTCCGTGGTATTTCCCAGAAATGTCTGGTCCTTTATGCTTGGCGGCGATGGAGAGGGATCCGTACCGGACGAACGACCACTTATCAAAGATCTCGAGGCAATCGTCGTACTATTTGGATAGGTTCCGTTGCGAAATTCGATTTCGACGCGAAAGTTGGGCTCATCGGCCGTGTACGGCTTGTTGTCGGATTGTTGCTCCTTCGGAAGGGCACAACTCCAAAGAGACAATGGGGCAATGCAGCCGGAAACTCGCTTCTGAAGGTTGGGCCCTGCGATTGTCGCAATACCAGTTGGCATAGGGGGATAGCCGGTCAAGTTCAACCATTGGGATTGCACCGGTGTGGCGGTTCCCTTTCTGGTCAGTGTCAAGGCGAGTATGAGGGCAAGCACGACGATTAGGAGGAACGAAGTGCAGATCGCTAGATACCACCGACGCTTCACTCTCCCCTCACGTCCTGATCTGCCAAAGCAGCCCTTTTTACTGACTGGCCCCCTGCCACGCCAGCATCCACCTAATTTCCGGCCAATAGCATCCTCCTTCTCTAGTCTTCGTCTTTTCGTCTCGATTTTCTGTCTTTCTGTAGATGAATCTATCACCTCCTCCTGTGTGACTAGACGTGGATCTATGCGCGGGGGCAGGGTTCCCGAGTTGTAGTGGTAAGAAGTATAGGCAGGTGCTGGTGTGTTCTGCACTTCACTTAACGGAACGGATCCTCTTTCGGTTAAACGCTGAAAAGCGGGCGATACAGGCTCCGGGGGCTGCGACTGTGTAGCAGGACTCGGGGCAGGGTGTACAATGTACTGCGAGTAGCTCCGTTCCGGTGGAGCTATAAGGACGGAAGATGGTACCACGGCGGGATGATTGTAGAAATTGTTGACTGTCGGCGGCGCGGCGCTCACTGGCTGGGGAACTGGTTGAAGAACCGGTTGGGGAGCTGGCTGAGGAGCTGGCTGTGTAATAACTACAGGAGCTGGCTGACTGATTGGTTGAATAATTGGCTGGATAATCGGTTGGTGGATAGGGCAAGACTCTTGCTTCTCGTTAGAACCCTCAGCGACATCCTCCGGTGCTGCCCTTGTTCCGTCCTCTGAAGACTCCGACACAGGTTGAACTTCTTCGGCGACTTCCTTTGCGATTTGAGGTGGAGGTTGCTGCTTAGAGGAATCGACACTCCAAGAGCGCTCACTCGATGAACATTTGTCTGGTATATCCTTGCTTGGAGGGTGCTCGCTAGGGACGTGTTCGCTTTGAGGATATCCAGTTAACGTAGGCCCACTCAGAGTGCTGTGCTCGTCAGAATCGCGGAAAGGGTTCCCTTTGCTTTTAGTCACAGTGGATACCCCATCAAGGGAACGAGTACCTGACCCTGCGTCTGCAGAGTCGGGTACATGTTCGCTATCAATTCCAGCCACGTCATCGACGTCAATAAGAAGATCCTTTTCTCGAGGCACCGCTGAAGGTGAATTGACCATCATTGCCGCAACCTTATTTTTCGGTGTGATCGAACAAACATGATTGACACACTCGAAGTAAGGCCGCCCGCTGAACAACTCATGAGCACATGCTTGATAATACTCCGCAGCAGAACCCTGAATTGGCCCCCCCGGAAACATGAAGAATCCCATACTCTGCTGAACTTCGTCCGGTTTTGGCTCCTCTAGGATCGGATGATTATTCTCTAACGGGTTGTTAACAGCATCCGGCGTGTCAGGTGAGAAATAGGAAACCTCCTTCTCCAACCACTCGTCTGTCAACCCGGACGAGTGGGTTGCGATACTAGGCACACGAGGCCCGTCCACCGTGACTGGGGTCTTGGGAAAGAGAGGGGACATGAGGTACGTCCACCAGCCCTGCGACTGCCGGGTGGCTTCGGGGTTGATGCTCAATCGGTCGGGAATCTTCTTCGCCTTCCTGGTCCATAATGAGCTAGGGCTTCCTGCAGTCTTGGGGCCGTCTTCCTCGAAGATAGTCCCAGATGAGTACCCACGATCCTGCCTTGATGACACCGCAGACGCCAAAGACGGGGACTCGGGACTGGCCTTATCGTTATCCGTACCGCCATGAAAGGCCGGGATGGCGGGAACCGGGGGTACGCCATGATCATCATAATGTGGATACGGTGTAGGTTGAGAATAGATGCTGGATGTAGCTCTAGGACGGGGATGAGCCGGCTCGAATCCGTCCCAGAATGTGTCTTCCCTAGCGGGCGTTACGATGATTGAAGGCGTAAGTGGAATATGTGAAAACCGCGCCTTATCTCCTTCCAGTGATTTTCCCTCTGGAGAGTCTTTCGATCTCTGAAATGGCATCCGAAGTCCGATCATTATAGGTCGGTCAGAAGGCGACAGCTCGTCTTTGCCTTTCGGCTTTCCCTTAGCTCCAAACCAGACTGGCTGTGATACATCTGACCCTGGTATTGCTGATGGCAGTGTGCCCGTGGTATCCGCAGTTCTTTCATGCTCTCGCACATTTGAAAGTATTTTGAGATCATTCAGGTCGACGAACACAGGTGCTGGCGTCTGCTTATGTACAACTGTACTTGATTTGGAGAAGTCTGTGACCAAGTTCAGCCCGCGACTTCTGGCCGAACCCTGCTCAGCCCCTTGGTCCATTTGCGCCACTCCTTGTACGTGATAGTCTCCGTTAGAAAGACGACCAGTATGACCCTGTTGTTGAAATCGCTCATCAAAAGCCGCATTGCGAATGAAAGGGTTCTTGCTGATTGTCCTGTTTAGAAGGGCGAAAGGGCGATTCCTCTCCAGTGCGTGGTCGTCTGGTGAGGAAGAGATCGGGCTGGGAACCTCTTCTGTGATCGGTGATGAAAGAGGGAAGCTTGGCGCTGTAGGGATGAGCAGTCCAGCCAGTGGCTTCTGATTCCGAGAAGCCATGTCCCCGGACTGCGTAGAGTATGGCTCAAAGTGTTCACTCGCGGCTCAGCTAATTTGTATGTAGCGATTCGAAGTGAATGGGATTCTTGAATAGTTGGGGAGAAAAGTGCAGACGTCTGGTGTAGAAGATGCAGATCGATATTCGATGTGGGGAGATGTTCTCCTCTTGTTCTTCGATTCAATCGACGACGACGTTCCTGTAGGGGAGACAAAGGGGCGAATTGATTGACTTCAGAGGCCAGCCAGTGCGAAGAACAATGACCCGATATAGAACAATAGCATTAACACAAGCCGCGACTCAAAGAATACAAAGCATAAGTGCCAGCGGACTGCAAAAGGGTATGCGAGACAACCTCCTCTTCCGCAGTCATGAATTCATGAAATGCAAATCAAGCCAACCAGTCTATGCTAGAGATCGGGGTGGTAGAAGAGGCAGTCAAGGAACACTTAGTAGGTCGTACAGCAGTTGAAGAGACTTCGTGACCTCAGGTGACTGATGAGAGGGAGAAAGCTTTCTTCAAAGAGCTATCCTTGATCTAAACAGCTTGTTTCGCATTGTTCCGGCCAGAGCCTGTGCAACGTAACAAATCGACCAGTCTCCATGGTTGCCGGCGACAGCTGCTGCAGATACAACAGTCCAAGAAAAGCTCTGAGAGGGTAGAGCGAGATGATGGGCTCTGCAGGACGAAGAGTAATCTGCAAGTGATTTGGAGGATTGGCTGTGGACGGAGGGTGAAGCAATTGTATAGCCGCCGATGCACGACACCCTCGGCGCTAAACTAATGTTGCAGAAAGTCACGGGGCCAGCCAATCAAGGAACCCCGTTCCTCTCGAAACCCACAGTGACAAAAATAGTACCTCCGCCGGCAGTGGAGATGCGCCCATCGGTCGGGTACTGGACTTTCTCCTATAAGCCACTTCTCTAGGTCTACGCCAACAGAATTACGAATAACTGACGTGAAGTTGTAAACACAGGATCTGGTAATGGAGCAGAATTGCTGCCGATTCTGTTAGATCGGCTTGCGCAGCGGTACAGGTTTTTATTTCATCTCCAAATCAGTACCGCTTGATCACACAGACATAATGAACAAGCCATGAGGATATCAACAAGACATATGCGCAAAACTCATGTCACAAGCATGTCAAAAACATGTTGCTTCCTTTTCTACAACCAACCAGGGGGTATTGAGCATGCAACGTCAATAATCGATCCAACCGTAAACCAAAGGGTAGACACATAGGCTCCAACACGTGGGGAATGATTCCGGGCACAGGGACAGCAAAAGTGCAGTAAGAAAAATGATATCGAAACATGCGATGCGGGGGTAATCTTTGAGACAGAAGGTGAAGAAGTAAGACACACAGAGGACGAAGAAGAGCAGCGAACTCAGTGAAAACCTGAGGCCAACTCGAAGAGGCGCCGACGAATCAGGGAATATGTATAGGTTGAATATGAGCGAATTTTGACAGGACAAGGAAAACCGCCCGAGACTCTCCTTGACAGAGATCCATGGAGGCAAAAGAAAGAATCAGAAGTGTTGCAATAACGAGAAATTCGTTGTCATTGCGTTCGTCGCACGCTCGTCATCAATTGATGTGATTTGGGGACAGTATGACCCTTACCAAGCTACCGTCGATCATCGGTGTACTGCACACCTTGCATGGGCGCGACAGAACCGTTCATGAGAGGGGGCAATGTACGCGGCTGTTCTTGCGTCATTGCAGTGCCCTGGGCGTAACTGGGATACATCGGTCCATGTACCTGCCCGTTTGTCTGCGGAGCTGAGATGGTGTGATGCTCGAATATTGACGCCTGGCGCGACTGCCCGTTGGCTTGCTGCTGGCTAAGCTGCGTACGTAATTCATCAACTTCACTTCTGAGGACGTCATTGTCGCGGCGAGCATTGTTGAGCATTTTCTCCAAATGACCAATATATTCAATCGCTGAACAATCGTTAGTGAATGGTGAAACAGCACGAAGAGAATTTCTTACCTCGAGTGAGAGTCTCCCATTTGCTGGACTTGTTGTTCTGGCTCTGGGGCAGACGGACGCGCAGCGCTTCGAAACAATCCTTCATCTCACTCCGACGCTTCCGCTCTGCTAGCTTGTGTGTGACGCGCAATTCCGGAGTGCGACTGTAAGGAGTGCTGCCACCATGTGCTTCAGACTCGCCGATCAGGCCTCGGACCTGCTTATGCTGCAGCGTGTGGTGATGCACGTTCTGCGGAAGTTCTACGAAGTGTCAGGGAATCCATGCACGAGGAAATATCCAGATTATATATGGTGTCAGACATACCATGCTGTCCACGGGGCAAGCGTGCGTCCGAATAAACGCTGCTGGCCAAGGACTCTGCCGTGCTTCCTTTGCGAGTGAATTGGTGGCCCTCAAGAGGTCTGTTGGTGGTAGACGAGACGGAATTCGACCGGGCGACATCTGGATCCGGAAAGGCGTATGCAAGACCTGCGGTGGGCGCCTCCGCATTGTAAATTTCGGACCGAGGATTCGATGAGATGGCAGGTGCAGTGCGGCCAGCCGCAAAGCTGCGATGCTCGCCAGCTCGTGGGCCAAGTGGAGAAAGGGGTTGTCCGGTAGAGTAGCGAGGACCCCGGTGAGAATTGTTCATACTGACATCCATCGAGATCCCACGCTCTCTTTGTAGGCCAGAAACAATCGAAGACTGAGAGGCGTTCGTGCTATGGTATGGAGAAGCCGGATTGATTGCGAGAGAGCTAATGCCCTGGTTCATCCTGCTATCCACGCTGCTCCGCCGCGACTCGGCCGGTTCCGCCATGCTGGCTCTCTGTGAAGGCGCATCGTAATTTTGATTGATGGATGGTAGGGTCGTCGGAGGTTGAGCGTGGCCGAAATTGGGTGATGGCTGCGCTCCAGCTGAGGAGGGAGTAGTGGTACTGGAGAGGTCATTCGGGTACGGGGATCGATCGGAGACGAGGGAGATACGATTCGGCGATGGTTGAGAGGAGGTGAGGAATGAGAGGGAGGGGTAGTTGCCAGTGCCGTTCGTCGCGGTGGAATATGTGGAAGATCCTGGCGTGGGCGGTCAGTATGGATCACGTACGCAATAATACTCTCCATCACCTACTCGTACTCTGAGGCATCGACCAGTTCCCTGAGTCTCGTTCAATTGTGTTCAACGACGCATTTCCGGGCGACTTCTCGGCTTGGGTCGGAATGCCCGTCATGCTCGCCGTCAATGTCGAGATAGAAGGGAGGGTCTGAGTGGTTTGGAGGCTTTGTGGTCCCGTTGTGGCAGGCTCCCATGGCCGGTGTGTGAGAGTCGTTTCCATTTTGTGACGTCGTCGGAGCAATTTGGGCGACAAAAGGAGTGAGAGGATGTATGTAGGTGTGCGTCTTTTATCAAAGAGTGATGATGGACTTCCGCGAAGACTGATAATTCGGATATCCTGCTGTCCTCGCTATATCATGTTCGACGTATCGTGAAACGATCGAAGGGCACACGTCTAATATTGGGTGACCAGCCGACAGATGCGGTCAAGGCCGGGAGATCGCTGTCGATCGAGCTACCGTTCGGGGATCCGTAGGGAAGCCGCTCCAAGTCGAGAATTTCGCCTCTCGCGTTCAGGAGACCACCCGAAGTTCTGGTGGTTTTGCTTTTTTCGGTTTTGCGGAGAGGCGTGTATCTTTCCAAAGACAAGTCCGCCCAATGCAAGAAAGAAGATCGAGTCTTCAGTCGGTAGAAGTTGATGTCTGATAAGGCAACAGGATCGGTACAGCGGTTTAGCGGATGATGGTCACTATGCGACGGGGACGATGAGTATGAGATTTGGACAAAACGGAATATGCGCCAGGTGAACGGGGAAGTGGCCGAAATCCTGTTTAGAGAAGACGGGGTTGCAGTAGGAGAAGTAAAACGAGGGCGATCGAATCTTTTGTGGAGGCAACTGAAAATATACAGGGGGGAGGGCTTAAAAGGACGTTTCAAGGAAAAGGAAAAGAAAAAGGTAATGGAGCGCTATAACTTAATAAGGAAGACGAGCAATCCGTGTCAAGATCAACCACATGGAGGGAAGAGGAAGTGGTGGGGGGGTGGGTGGGTGGGATGTGGACGGAAATTATACTGGGTGTAGGCCACAGGACCAATGGATCTGGAGCATGGTTTGCAGACAATGGATTGCACAAGGAGCTTACCTGATGGCCGAGAATAAAACGCTCGGGCGGTGCAGCGGAACGTGGCACAAGAGTGAGGAAACGAACAATTGGGCAGGAAGAAGCGTTAGGGCAAAGATTCCGACCGATAGCCAGCAGAAGCTTAACGTGACCGGGCTAGCTAGAGGCAATGCTGCGGGGATTGACGAGGGGCGAAATGACTGCTGAAAAGTGAGGTGTGAACCAGCAAAGGAGAATGGACGGACGGATGGGGAAGGGCAAGGATGTGGTGAAAAGTGCTAGACTAGTCGTGACGGCGGTGGTAGTGCTGTTGGTGGTAGTAGTACGGTTGAGATGGTGGGGGAGAATGGTAAAAAAGTCGCAGTATATGGTTGGTACTGCTGAAGAAGAGGGGAGAGAATACAAGAAATGGAGAGAGAAAAGAGAGGGAGAGAAGAGGGGGGTCAGCGATGAATAGATTGAAGGAGAAGAGGCCTAGACTAGAAGAAAGAAGCCAGAATAGAGAGAGAGAGAGAGAGAGCGAGAGAGAGAGTGGACACTGGTCACCGTCCCGCCCGCTGAAGGTTGCAAAAATACGGAGTAATACTCAATTGGTCGTAGTAAGAATAGGACTAGTGGCAGGAACCAGACGGTGGCACTGGGACGAGTCTGGGAACAATTGGGAAGATGTCCGATTGAAAGGGCAAAAACAGAGACTCCAACTCCTTGGGGCTTTTGGGGCGAGTGGGAGTGCGTGCAGTGCCCGCAATGTTTTTTTTTTTTAATTTATTTTTTTTT